CGATGTAAAAATAATTATACCGCTTCAATATGTTGCTGTTCTTTTCTGTATCTCAACCAGTTGGTCGTCTTCTGTTGTTTTTTTTGCAGTCCGCAGATAGGCCATGGGCTGATCATCAGTGGGCCATTTGCATATTTGACGATCTTCTGGAATACTGTGGACCAGTGAGTATATTTCAGTGTCTAATAATTCATTGATATTTTTCAACAATTTAATGGTAGACATATTGAATGTCAAGGATTTATATAAGATAATGGATGCATGTCATCAAACATTTCTAACCAATCGTATTGAAGAATATACGGCCACATGGAAAACAGAAATGGCCGAGATTATAACCTTATCAACAAGAGGGGCGGGAATCCGCTCCTGTACAAAAGTACAAGCATTATGAATAAATTATATGCTAATTATTATGCAAATTAGCCACATCCTTGACACATTGCTTACTGATGACATACTTATCCCCCATTTGTGGCTCAGCGGACCATAGGTCTGCTGAGCCTATGGGATGGGTTTCTGTCCTGCGTCTGTCGTCCGTCTATGAGTGTAGATGGTAATTTGTTTAATGAGAAGTCAAAAAAGTCTGCCAACAATTATGCAAATTAGCCCCCCAAAACTCTAAAATTCCTTCTATGCTACTATGACACTAAGTGGTCTACAGTATTGATATTGATAATGCATGTGCCTTGGGTTGTCCTCTATCAGTTTTGTTAATTTGGTTAAGGAAATTTTCAATTTCCTAATTTTGGCGAATATTTTAAAATGGTAATTTTTGGTCAAAAATTCTATTTTCGACATCTTCTCCAAAACTGGTAGTCCCATTCCGATTGATCTCAAACCAGCATGGTATATACGTTCGGTGGACCTCTATCAGATTTGTTCATTTTGTGTTGACATCTTCAATTTTTAGCAAATATTTTGTCATTTTTCATCAAAAAAATGGTGCTTTTGACTTGTTCTTCAAAACCAGTAGTCCAAATTCTTTGATACTTGTTACACATGTAGCTTGGATGACACTTCATCCAGTCACTAAAAGTGGCTAAATTTATCAAAAATTTCAGAAGTTCATGATTTTTTTTATTACCTTCTCCTTAATGCACTACAGTTGTCGGAAAATAGACAAAACTTGGGAAGATTATACAATGATGCCATATTGAAATTATATGCTTACAGGGAGATATGTAATGTTTCCCATTTGTTCTGTCAACTGTTTCTCATTCTCACATAGCACATGGGAGTTCTAAGTTTTCTTTGATTGGTCTATTGCGATTGTAATGAAAACATAACCACTCACATATTTAAATGTGTATAGACATGATTGATTTTGGTGGAAAATTATGCAAATTGCCTAATTTACATACCAATATTTAGC